CTGCATGGGTTTGCCTCAATTCCCTCACCTAAAGTCTTTGATATCCAGACACTGAACAGAGCCCCACTGCTCTTCAGCAAGGGTTCACATTTATTTAGTCACCGCAGAAACAAAGCAACAGCTTTTCAGTTTCAGAGACCCTGAGCCTTATGGTAGCGTGCATATGACACCAACCACACAGTGATCAAAATGAACACCACAGTACTGTCCTGTGTGCTGGCAGAGAGACCAGGAGTGCCCTTATTTACAGTGCATGCTAACACGTGAGCCCAACTTAAGATTAAACAGCACTGCTCCATATGGACAGCAAAAACAACTCACCAAAAATCACTTGAGTTCCACACAGATTTGATTCTCACTGGAATATTCTTCTACAGGGATATAAATTTAGTAATCAATGTGTCGTCAAATCTGTTCCTATGAGCAAAGACACAGACACCATGTCATCTATTTCCAAAACTAATCAAACGAGAACAGGTTAGAGAGCACAGCTCAGCATATCATTTACTGACACCGCACTCATTTACACTGGTTCAGAATCTGGAAAGAATATCATTGGTGGTTGGGATCTTTACACAGAAGGATTATAGAAATCCTTCGCTTTTAAATGAAGTCATTAACACTTTTCTACAGCAGATTAACATTTCCATTTCACAGATGAGGATCAAGTCACAAAGACTTTCCTACAGTCATTATGAAGTCAGTGGCATAAAGGCAGCTGTCCCTTTAAATTCTCACCCTGGAAAAAAAGAAGAAACAAATTACATTTCTAAGCCCAGTCAAAAAAAAAACAAAAAAAAACCCAGCAACCCTTAGCACTTGGAGAACAAATCCCAAGCAAACCACATAAAATCTGGTCCAAATCACCAAAAAGGGTGAATTAGCAAACTGGTGAGGAAGAGCCGTAAGCAGTGACGTTGTACAACTTGTGCTGATTTGGCCTTTTGTGGGTGTGTCAATTACACACACATCTGCGTGCCCAACTAGGTGTGTCCAACAGGAACAACACAGCAGCCTTTGGGGCAAAAAAGAGCCCCTCCTGGGTTTGTTTTGGAGTTACAAGACCTGATAAGAGGGTGAAGCCATGGACTGGAGGACAGCTTCAGCCCTTGTTTTGTGTGTGTCAATCATTCATCTGTAAATGCTCACAGCTCACACAATGCTTCCAGCAGTGCTGTTTGTCTGAGCCTGAGCCCTCCTCGTGCATCCATCAGCGTAAGCACTTCTGGCAGCTCTGCTTACTCCATAATTCTTGTGCAGGAATATGAAAATCTAATTCTCCCCTCTACTAATTTGCATTAGCTTTGCTCCTAAGTGGAACGGAAATGATTTAGAAACGACTCTTGCTTTTGCAGAAGGAAATGGAAGTTAGCACTTTCTGCATAAGGCTCTGCCTCTCGCACGCTGCTGCCCCAGCCCAGGCTGAGAGGTGCCAGAACGCTATCTTGTGAATAGTCCTGCTGGGTGACATCACTTATCATGCCACCGTGCTGCCAGCCAATTGGGGAGGCTTCTCACACGGCCCTTAGCTCTCACCTAGCCGGGAAGCCTATAGGAAAAAGCTGCAGCACTGGCAATGGACCCACTCTTGCTGCCGATGCTTATTTGGCCACACCTCCTCCTCCCCCTTTCCCACTCCTGTATGCACACATCACACACACAGAACACAGCAGAGGCAGAACAGCCACACACTGCAGAAATCCATTTCCGAGCATTAGGCTTTTGGCAGCGACTCAGATATGAACTTACTTCTTGTTCTGGAGATTTATGGTTTTGAGCAGCAGTGTCAGTGAAGGATGCTTCCTTTTCCAAGTCACTGATTATTTTAACTCATTGTTATCACACTGCACTGCCTTGGTATTTCTGTCCAACTCACTTGCAGCCAGAGCCAGCCCAATCGTGGCTGCCACCCCATGAACAGACAGTGGAGAATCGTGTTCTGACATCGCCTGGCTGTAATCAGTTGATTTGGCCACTCAAGAGCTGATCACACTCAGCACACAGAAGCAAAGCCCAACACTGGAAGAGGCAGAGCTGCAAACCGGGCTCGTAAGTGCATGCAGTGCTTCCAGCACAGAGATGCTTCACTGTAGCTGTGATCTGGTAGGAGAAATAGGAAACGGGCACATGAAGTCATGGGATGAAGCAAGCTACTAAAATATCAGTAGGAACCAGAATCCCAGGGATCTTGTCTACTCTTCAAACAGTGCTCAGGAAGAAGCTTAACTGTCTATTAATTCTCATTCTAAAGCAATAAGACAATCAGTACACCCAAGTACAGCCTGTATAGTCTGCTGGAACCAGTGCTGCCTACTGATGAGAGAGGGAAATAACCACAGGTGTGCTGTGAAATTCCAGGGGAGGCTGGAGGTTGTACTCCAGACACACAGACTGTGACCCAGGTAACTCAGCAGCACTAAATGATTTCACTCGAAGTCAAGAGAGGTCATGCAGCATTTTCCAGGCCTTCAGCAGGACTCCTCTGGCAGAAAAGTCCAGAAGATTTCTGAGATGAAAGCAATTTAGATTACTTATTAAACCCTCTTACCTCTGACCATAACAGACTACTTTCTTTATAACCTACTTCCTTTGAGGTGACAGCAAAACAAGCAATTCCTGAACAAACCCTTCTGGACATCACTAGAGAACAGAGAAACCAAAAATTTATGAGAGTCCAAATGTAAAACCATGGGATATCTACAAATACCCACCTGAATAAACTGTGGGTCTCAAGGAATCAGAAAGCAGGCAAAACAAGGCAGTGTTTTGTCTCAATAATTCAAATTCTTCGTGGAATAGGTGGGAACTCAGAGTGTGTGCTTATGTTACTCGAGGAGCAATGAGCAGCAGCATGAGAACGCAAGCAAATAAAGGAAAAAGGAGTGACCAACAAATAAGAAAGAGGAAGATGAGAATAGAAGGCACCCAAGCAATGCAAAGGGTTTTACAAGTGAATAATGGAAAAGCAGAAACAAGAGGTTCTCAATAAACAGTAAGCTGCAGGAACAGGCAGGCTGTCCTCACTGAGCACCTGTCAAACAGCCCAAAAAACTTCACACAAGCTGAAAGACAACCTGATTGTTTGCTCCTGTTCACAAGAACACCTGGAAGAACAATGCACCTTTTGGATCCTGCTTGGTCAAACGCTCATGTGACATTTTTGAAGGCAGAATACATCTTCTCAGTGATGGGAGAGGACAAAATGAACAAGCATTTAAAGATTTCTACAAGCTTGCAATTGTCAGCATTTAACCATACAAATTCTACATTTTTTCATGGAAAGATAAGAGTTATAAAACAAAAGATGGAATTTCCACGTGGACGTGCAATAAACTGAACCACCAATTCTGAATGAAGTTAACTGGAGCATATCCACATTTATCTCAAAGGCTGCAACTGAACCAGCACTCCGCATGCTGAAGTCTTTGTGAAGATACATGCCCTCCTTATTCACCCCAGCTTTAAGAGAACTTAAACTGTTGTAGGACTCACACTATCCTTGCCCTTCATTATATACAAAAGAATAAGTACTCATGGAATTTTCTGCCCTTAAGGTTCATTAATTTCTCCCTAGACACCAAACTACAAGTTAAACAAACAGTACTAATGCAAAAAAAAAAAAGTCTCTTGTAGCTCTCTGTAACTCTACAATCTTATCATGAAGGTGTTAGGGAATGGTCTGGAATAGAAAATGCTACTTTCCAAACTCAACCTTCTGGCAGCAGCTCAAGAAGTTAAGTCATGTTTACTTTCCTTAATGGAAACCCACCCCTTGCTCTCTGTTAATGCCAGGACTGATTGCACCCCAAGAGCTGCAAGCAGTAGGGCTGAGCCAGCTGTGTCTGGCCAAACTGACATCCAGTGCAGGGCACACACAGAGCGATTAAAGGAGACAGAAAGTAACACAGCTGTTCCTTTTTCACATGCACATTTGGTGGACGGAGCATTAGATTTTTCCAGAAGTGTTTAAGGTATTACAGACTGTTTTTCAAGTGATGACAGAACTATAAAACAGTTCAAAAGTCCGAAACACAGAGGAGCCCTGGTATACAAACACTTACATGGAGCCAAGATTTCACTTTTAGACAGCATTTTCACATGTATACTCACACACACGAGTATAGAAAGAACCTTTTAATATAGAGGAACTTCTTGATAAAGCACAGAATTCAAAGTTAATTCTAATATTTTCATCTGCATACAGCTAATAACAAAAACAGGGTAAGTAGGAGTCAACATCCCATGTTGTGTGAACAGATAACTTGGAAAAACCTCCAGGTGCATTACAGTAAGTCAGGATAGAAGGCAACTCCTCCTGCATGTAACATAAAACACTTGGTACTGATAACAGGGAGAATGAAGACACTGCACTGCTAACTTGCCCAGCTTATCAGCTGCACAGATAAGCAATATCAATATGTTGCTCTAAATGAAATATGCAAGTCCCTCCTCTTCAGTTCTTACTTGAGCATTCTTGCACCAGAATGGAAAGAAGCTTGAATGAAATAGTAAAGTTAAGTCCAGCAACATTCCATTGCAGTGTGATTGGTAACAGAAAACCAAATCTTTGTGCAGAGGCACTGCTGCCTTGTGCAGTCCCATCCTGTATTCATTCTTCTGCAAAACACCACATTAGACTCAATCAAGTGTGTGACAAATGTTTGTTCTCCAGTACTGCTGCATAAATGCAAACACCACAAACCTGTTCTGTAGAATTGTTTCAAAGAATTGGTCATTCAAAACCTCCAGCACAAATTGCACCAGGAGCTCATGAAATCTAGCAGGATTTATAATGTTATACATACAGCTCTCCTGGGGGAAAAAAATCATTTTCCAAGAGTTCTGGATTTTTTTACATTACCATGGAAGAAACTGCTAGGTAAATAAAACAGGCAGTAAGAGTGTCGAATCACACTTCACATTTCTAACTACCAGCTGAATTCCTCCAAAGTGATGCTCCCAGAAGTAAACAGTGCTTGAACTAAGAACATGGAGGCAGATTAACAACAGGGGATTACGTCCCTTATTCTTTAATGCACAAATTTAACAGAATTAGAAAACAGGAAAGGAACAAATGGAACAATACAAAACCTTATCAATTCTACTTTACATCTCATATGCTGCTGTGTTATTTTGCTTTAGATCCCCCCTTTGACACGGTGCTGGAGGGAGCACACAGGTATACGCTGCCAACAGAAGTACTGTTATTAAGTGCTTCAGAAAAAGAAGCTAATGGTATTGAGACACTCAAATAAACCAACCCAAGCCACCTTTAAAAAGGAATTATTCCAGTCTATAAATAGCAGCTTCCACATTCCCATAACCCATGTGTTATACAAGGAATATGGAATACAAGTTCCATACAACATGATACAAAGCAGTCCTGCTTTTAAAAAAAGAGAAAGCAAAGAAAAGGCGCAGCATGAAGTAATGTCAGACAAGCAGTTTTGTGAGAGCTTTAATGGCACAAAATGTTTATAAGCTACAACTTATACATGTACTGTAAACTGTATAGAATGTTACAAAGTGCTAACTAACTTATGAAGAATGCATAATCACTTTGGCTCAGTTCACTCCAATATTTCAATAAATGTCAATTAAAAAATTTTGAGTTTCTTGTGATCTTCAGCTTTCACTTTTTAAAACAGTAAATGTGTTCTGACTGCAGTTACATTACCTGCTGCATTTTTCAATGTGTGAGTTTATGCAATCTTTTGTTGATCGTATTTACAAGTATTGTAGGCCAGTTTTCAACGCATGTAAGAAAAATGAAGCCTGCTTTTTTTTTTTTTTCCAAAACTGTAAACAGGTATAAAGCTTTTTAAACATCTACCTTAACAAAACTTCAACTATCAACAGTTGAAACCCCTTTTCAAATGAAATAGTCTGTTTCTGTTCCTTGTAAAACTAGAAGTTGTAGACTTTCATTCCAAGTTTATAGTAGGGCATCAATAAATATGCATCGTATCATTTCAGTGATCATGGATTCATCCCTCAGCTGTAATCTTCACCATTTTTTATTTCATGGCTCCTTCAAATATTACAAACCATATGTTGATACTCCAGCCACAAGCTTGCAGTGTTACTTATCAGATACTCTCAAGACATATCTTCTAATTTAGAAAGGGGTAATTTTATTTTGTCAAAGGAAAGTATTCCCTACTCAGTAAAAACCTATTTTTTCCACTATTCCAATTTTGATACAAAACAAGGTGCTACAATTAGAACTGAAAAGTGTATCAGCCTTTCCCCATCCCCTCAGCTTTTCAGGACTACAAAACTCTGCACTTGGTAGCACCTAAACCATCCTCACCACTTCCTCCTTACCTCCCCCACCTCTGGGTGAAACCCAACATCCACACTTGAAACAAAGATGCAGTTGTAGCAACTCAGGTGCCACCAGCACTCACAGCTACAAGAAAAAGCAGATGTCTTCAACAGAATGGTTAGACTGCTCTTTTACCCTGAAAGCATTCTCCAACAGCATTCAGAAGTAGAGAATAAAAATGAATACAGGTTAGCAGTGGATTTATACTCAGCTTTTTCACTTGCTGGGAGCTAACTAAGCTCTCTCAAACCAACCCTCAATTGGGATTTAGCTGCTATGTAAGCTATTCCCCAAGTGATCACTGCTGTATCAAATATTCAACTTTATAAAATCTGATGCAAGCAAACAATCCATGTGGCTGTTCTCTCCAAACCAGCTGACTGTATTTTCTTCATATTTTCTACAAGTCAGACTACTACAGTTTTTATTTAAATGAGATTTTTGCTAGCCTTAAAATTAGCATTGTTCCCTAAATACTTAGTATTAAAGTCTATACCATATTTTTTAATATATTCATATATATATATATAAAAGAGTATTCTATCCTTCAGAGTCATGCTACATGTTCTGAAATCCAATAAAATCTATTTAAGGACACGGATGTCCCAATGCTTTGTAACAATTTGGTACTAAAGCTTCACATTTTGAAAAGAAGTGTCACTGAAGGAGGACAAGGCTTAATGTTCCCTAAGGTAAAAGTTCAACAACATGAGCGAGGAGTCTACCTAACATGAGACATCACAAGTTCAGGTTCCATGTACCCCCGAAGGAGACTGTACAGTAAACAATGAGAGAGGAATATTGAAAACTCATTTGCAAAAGACATTTCAGAGCTTTACAACCTCTGAATCTTTACACACCTGCAAGATTGTCCCCCTTAAAGACTGGTCAACCACTTCATCTTCTGAAACTGCCCCGTTATCGTAATTGTAAAATGGTTCCACGACGAACAGAATCATATCCTTTTACACAGAGTCTAACTACACCTACAGCTGTTGGGTTTTTCCTTAATTTAAAACTACATTTCATAGGAAGATTTCACATTTAAAATTCTCCCTCAAGAAAACAAGTAAGGAAAAGAAAAAGCTTCTTCACATGCAAACAATGCATTTTTTTCTAATCACTTCTAGGCATCAGACAGATTTCCTACAAGGAATAAGGAGCTGACTTCTTAGAAAAGACAAAATTACAACAATTATCTAATATTAAAATATGCTGATGGATTTAGGTATTTCTACATTAAAACTTATGCAGTCTTTGCCTCCTGCAAATCAAATGGTGTTAGCCAACGTAAGGGGGAACATATAGGAAATTCCCCTGTGAGCTGATTTAAACCATGTTTTATTGCCAGGAATTTCTTAGTTTATTTCACAACTAGTTTGTTTTTCAAAAGCAGAATTCAATTTCACTTCAATCAATAATTTTCTTCGGAAGATACTTAATTTTATCACTATAACACAGTCAACATTTATACCATGCACAACTGCAATTTAAGTCAGGTTGCACTAAGGAGGCAACAGCATCACTGATAAAATTAAAACTTGCTGGTGGCATTTTGCATTGAGAGAAGCCCTTGCAACATATAGACAGTTGTAAACTCTGTTCAGCAACTCTGACGTGTCTTGCAGGCCAAGAGGCAAGGGAATGGGAGGAGAGAGGAAAAGAATGTGGATAGCGAAACACCTCAACAGAGTTCCAACACAATACTGAATTCCAGAATTAGCAAAAACCTGGATATGTAAAGAAAGGGTGAAGTCAGGGTCATGCTTAAAACGGTCTCAAGTCAAATGTACTAAACGAGACAGAACACCTTCACAGGTCACGTGGGTTTCCAGGTTTTGCACCCCGTCTTTCAGTAAGTGCTGGCTGAAGGTGTGGTCAGTCGTTTTCCGATGTAGATGCTGAAATAAAAAGTACAAAGCATATCACAGTTCACAGGAATTCTCCCTGTTTCTCACAGTTCTCATGCACTCTGCTATGCTGATTTGTCTTTCAAGCTTGATGAGGTTCTTCCAAGGACTTCATTTCATTTATAAAATGACTTAAGAGTGACACTGTCAGGTGAGCCCAGAAGGACTGATGTTACCAGTGTTCAGTAAAAGCAGGCTGCTTACAGTTCCAAGCTCATCTGAAACACCCAGCCCAGGAGCTCTGATGCACTTTGTAGACTACCTGACTGAGGGGGCTCTTGAAGAGCTCAGCATCACTCCCAGATGACTATTATAGTAAAACAAGGTATTGTCAAAAAAACAAAGAGGTAAGTATTGAGGACCTACAGAAACACGGACCTCTGATATTCAGATATCAGCAACATTTCACACAAAAAGGTACACTTATGCGGTAGTACAACTATCTTACAATATACTTTCACAGATTCTATCCTCCTAATTTACTCAATGCATGCTTTTCCCCCCTACATGGAAGAATATAAGATGGATAAACAAATTTAAGCAAGCTCAGAAATGTCAGATTACGCAGGCATGGAAAACACTACTGAGCAAATCAGCAGCTGATCTCACAGGACACATCCAGTATTTCATGCATCTAAGCATTCAAACCTTTATATCTGCTAATATCAGAGACTACAGCATTAGACAGAGTATGTACCATACAGAGATCTTCAGCAGCCAGTATTTGTACACTGTGGTTTTGTAATGGTTAATAAATATTACAGCAGTTTTCCACTTGCTCTATCTTACTTTTCGTACATAACCTGAAGTATTTAAGAATGCATGGATAACCAAATGTACATGTTGTAATTGCAAGGTTATTCATGATAATCCATGCATTTTCAATATAAGAAACCTGACCTACAAATAAAACATATTCATGACTATCATTGCTGCAACGTTTTCCTGCACTTAAAAACAAAAGCAAAAAGGCAATTCTCTTGAGCAAGGTGCAACAACACTCGAGTTACTCCAGACAAAGCCCTTTTCAGAGCAAGCACCCGACATTCAAGTAAAGCAGAAAATTAAAGCCAGATGCAAAAAGTTGAAGTGAGAATTAGGTTAACACTTACCCTAGTCCCAAAGCCAAAACATGAGATATGAACAGAGATGGAATGAAAACCTTAAGAAATTCTGCAGAGAAAATGCCACCTTTCTTCATTGCTCCACTTTTCCTCATACTTAAAGACACTGAACGTTTAGGATGTCTGAAATGAAATTCCCTGAAAGAAAAGGGGGAGGAGAGAAAAAATTCAACACTTTCTTCTTGTTGCCTTTTCTTTTTATTGCACACACATGTACAGATCTCTGCAGAAACTTTTTTTTTTTTTTAAAGTACAAAGAGCTGGAGATCAAAGCAAGAGATCCCTTACAGAGTAGGGGACCAAAGAGAAAAATAGGAGGTATTGTGAAGAGACCACTTACATAGACAGTATAGAGACAAAGAGAGCAGTAGCTGAAGAGAGAGGGAAGTCCAAGAGAGGGAATTTCAGGATGGGATTTGTTAGCAAAAGCCTCATTTTTTGTTCCAAACAAAACAGAGATAGAGAAGTCTGTGAGATATAGACAGCATCCTCTACTTTAATAAAAATGCTTCTTTGCATTCAAGGTTCTCAATGCTTCCCCTTCAGTGATGAACAGTATGTATTTTACATAGAAAGAAAAAGGTACAGAGAATTTATGAGACTTGCTCAAAGCTCTTCCATTCAATAAGCCAGAACGAAATCCCATTATACCAGCTCCAAGCAACCAAATCTCCCAATAATTCTGCAAAGAAACCTCATAATCAACTCGCCATAGATTTCAGGTTGCTTTCAGCAAAAGGTAATTCTGATGCTATTATCATTTGCAAACTTCATTGCCTCAACTTTTTGTAGCCTCCCAAAAGAAAACTCTTTTTTCCAGAGATGATCTTATTTGCACAGACAGAATAACTGCTTCTAAGTGAGTCTCATGGTTCTTCCCTCCTCCATACAAAGGAACTCTTGGGAACCTGCTTTAGCAAGGAGGTTGCACTAGATGATCTCCAGAGGTCCCTTCCAACCCACACAGTTCTGTAAAATTCACTTTAAAAAGTTTAACTTACTTGGGAGGAATGTTTTCAGGCCTACTCGACCAGTCTGACACCCAGTCAGCACTTTTCTTCAACACTTCCAACTCTTTCTCTCCTTCTACTGCTTCTTCTTCAGACTGAAAACACACACGAGAGAAACCCTAAAGCAGCCAGTTAGCTCCTCCTCATGGCATTAAGTTGAGAGCTACACTGATAAGCACCAAATGGCAGCACCTGATAAATAAGCAAGTGTTCTCAGGCTACCTACTATTTAAAAGATTTTATTGTTCTAAAAGAAGGCATTGCAGATGTCAGCAGGTCACTAATTATGTTATTACCTCTAGGAGCCCAACATCACAGTAAGTTGGATATTTTGCATATGGATCTTGTTGTTTGGGTATTTTTGTTTGTTTGTTTTTCTTGTTTAATGATAATTGTAATTAAATACAGTTTTTACTAAAAAAAACCAATTTCATGACATTTCATTTAAAGCATACAGAATGTAGATAAAGCATAGAAAGGCAAAATAAAAACATTTCGAAAACAATATTTAGAAGGTCTTAAAAGAGTTACTTAAAATTACTGTTACATGCAACTAGGGGACTCTCCTGGGTGCATCTCAGGTGCAGAAGGGAAAGTCAAGCACTCAGCTGCCTTCAGCCAAGGAGTTAACATTACATCATTTGATATAAGAAAAAAAAATATCAGCTAAAGGGACCAGAGAATTTAGAAAAATAAGATATATGATTTTTAAGATAAGTGGGAACCATGACAAACGTAATCAAATTCAACAAAACAGAGATAGCAGACCTAGCCAGCAACTTCATTCAGAGAGCTCTGGCTCTCTGCAGGGCTCCAGTGCAAGTCCTACTCTTTGGCCAGATCCTAGACACAATTCAATGCAAGGTTTCATTCTTCCAGAATTGCTTTCTTATGCTGCTGAAGACAGCAGATTCCATTTCATTAGCAAACTAAGAGTTCGGCATTAGTCTCCTCTCAGTCTGTATTATGAAGACTGCTCACTATCATGTGAGCTGATTGATTCATACAGCCATCCATCGGGCTCTCAAAATGAAAAAACCTGCTAGAGAGCAGTAGTGGATTTCTTTTGACAGGTAGAATATATAATATTGAAGACCTTCTGAGGTGACAGAGAACTCGCTCTGCCCTTCGAGTACTCCCAGTATCGACCTATGTGATTTATATCCACAATACCTACAACTTTAACGTATTTTTCAAAGTTAATTGTTTTAAAATGTTAAATACCTGAGAACTACTGTCTTTACTTGTGTGCATTTCCACGTCAAACGTTATCTGTCCATCTTCTTGAGGCGAAGGGCTAAAGAAAAATTGATTTCATCGTGTCACTTTTGTCACACTATATTATCAGCTAAAGAATAATTAGCATTAATAGCATCTCAGCTCAATCATTTCCACACGCTCTTCTGCACACTATTCAAATGAGGAACAGACTACAGTCACAATCACCAGGATAAGAATGTCTTCAAGAAACCTCTGCTTTGCCTTTTTTTTTAGAAAAAAAAAAACAACAATCCCACCTCTCTCAGCAGGACTGACTGCCATTCCACAGAATTTGGACTGAAAATACCAAACTACTGGCAGTTAAGAAAATAAGTTAGTTCCTTACCAACAAAGAGGTAAGAAGCTGTTTATTTTCTATTAAAGCAAGTGTCCTGTTTTAAAAACTGTATGAAGTGCCTTCAAAGATTGCCTACTACAGTCTGTAATTACATCAAGCCTAACTAATTTTAAGTATCTTTTATTACTGATCAGCTACTTAATATGTACAGTAGACAAGACAGTTCAACAGACAGCCATCATTCAGAAAATCCATAGGAGGCATAAGCAGATGAACACAAAATTATCTGTAGAAACTGCTTATGGGCCTCCAAAACTGGCCTAAAGCCTTCAAGGGAAAGGCACAACGAAGAACTAAGAATACCATAATGCTCACATGTGCCTCAAGGGATTATATTGTCAGGCAAAGATATTTTGCTTTCGTTGGAAAAAAAAAGCAGAATATTGAAAGCAGGAAGTACAAATTCCAAGTCTTTCGTTCTGCCAAGTCCAGTGATGCATTTTATTATGTTTGACTGAAAACAAGAATATATACATTACACTGTTACTAACGAGCCAATAAAGCTAATATATTTCATATCCTAAATGGTTTATGACAATGTAAAATTTTACCGTAGTGTAGATGTAAACGCTGCTTCTAGATTCCATGGCTTTCTGTAACAGTGAAATGATTTATTTGATAGTCAAGAGCAAGCAAGTGCTCCAAATGCTGGAGCATGACACACTTAAGCTGGAGAAAAAACATTACCCTTCAATTAACAACTACAGGATTAAAAACTGCAAACAATATTATGCAGGACAGCAAACGCTCACTTACCTGTCACAGTGGGAACTACCTCTTGAACTGCTCTGTCCTGATTCATGCTGGGCATCCAGAAGAATTTTCTCCATGTCTCCATTATGGATGGAGGATGATGATGGGACATGCTCCAGCCCCCCGTTTTTCCCATTGCCATTATCATTGCTATTGCCATTGCCGTTCATCTGCAACTCCACCCAGGAACCTGTTGAGCAAGCCAGACGTCATTTCATTAAAAGCAGTAAAGTTAAAACCACGTAAAGTTTATCAACTGCACACAGAAAAAGAGCCCTGAACGTGGTGAATTGAGATAACACACACTGCTGCTGGGATAAAGCTCATAAACACGGACTGAAGACAAGGCTGATGTGTTTCTTCCTGTTGCACAAAAAAAACCACCTCCAAAACATTATGTTGCTTCTTACTTCTGGAGCTAGGCACACTAACTGTCCCCCATCTCCCCACATATCAACACTTCAACAGACCACATTTCTCCCTACAGTTTGAAGTTTCCACTATCTCAACTACACTAATCACTCCCCTTTCCCTGTTCTACTCCTATTTCAAAGGAAATCCTATTTTCCTAGCCCTGTTTCCATACAATTTCCCAACCTACAATTTTATACTATCCTTCTTCCTCCCACTTCCAAAGGTTCTCACTTCCAAACCAGCCTCTGACTTCACATTTACTTATGTAGAAGTCACACTGTAAAAAAGACCCCATACATCCCCAGACCCACAACACAGCTGAGGGTTGATGCACCATCAAGTGTGAGCGCAGCCAGCACAGCAGAGCCACCCAGAGCTGCTGCCAGCACCACATCCAGGCAGCTGCTGAACATCTATGTAAGATCTCACACCTCTTTGGGCAATCCGTGCTCAGCCACCTGTCAATACAGAAATGCTTCCTGAGATTGAGATGGAACTCCCTATATTCCTGCTGCAGGTTAGCTAAACAAGAAAAAAGTGTTTACCACCATGTTCCCAAGAGCCATGTTTCAATTTGCACCACTCAGTGTCCTGAGGGGTGAAGGTAAAGCAGATCTCCACCCTTTAATCTGTTCCAAATATTTAAATACATTCCCTATCGACTGCAACTCCAACCTCCTCATTAAGATACAAGCCAAGAATCCTATGACTGCATGGCCACACAAGACCTATTGGTCTGACACAGCTGACAACTGACAGATTTCCTTCTGCAGTTACGACCTCAATTACTAAATTTCACACTGCATTTACCCATGCTATAGAATTCTGTCATTTAGCCACGTTCCAAGACTGTAAGAAAATACTTGCAGTTAGGACCTTCTGGTGTTTCATTTTGTCGATTTTGTTAGGAAAGCTCAAGGTCTTTAGACACTGCTGCTGTTAAAGCCTCTTCAACTACATTAATAACCTTTTAAAGTAATCTTGCATTTGATGCAGCCACCGTTTCAAATACTTGATTAAAAACTGAGCTGCAAACACAATGAACTACTTGAAACATCATCAGAACATCAAGAACACACAGCATTAATTCCATCATCTCTAAAGTTTCTATGTCCTCCCAAAGAGGTCACAGCAGTTTCCTGAACATAAACACTGTTTCTGTTCAGTGCTGTACAGCACGCGGAGCATAACTAATGCTTTCATGTGAGAAGATCCTGATTAGATAGAGCAAAGATCTCTGACTTCTCACAAGCATCACGTCTTCAGTGCAACACTACTTCCCATTATCAGTGAGACAATGATTTCACACATATATTATTTCACCACGCTTCCGTGGAATCTAATTGACACTATCTGGAGGTGAATGGTTTATCACTGAGGTACAAACAGTCAAAAAGAAAGAGAAAAATAAAGCCTAAAAATACAAACATAACAGCTGAAATGACTTCTTAGAATTACCTGCACTGGTTCAAAACTTCAACGCTGGTTTCTTGTCTTATGAAATGCACCTTTAATGGCTCCATTTGTTCTTACAGCCAAGCTCCAGCTCTGTGAACTCTTCAGTGCCACAGGAAGGAGCATATGACCAAGTTCACAGATTATCAACTTGTTTTTGTGAACTGAAATAGTTTATCCACGGTATCAGTTACTAACACACCGCTGTGCATTATGCTCTGCTGAGCCCTGCTGGTTTACAGCCTGTTTTCCCCAAGCTGTATTCACAAGCAAGGAATCTGGGTGTGCACAGAGCTTACACACAATGACACAGTGCACACCAACCCCAGTAGATACTGGGCTGCTTCAATCAGCCTCCAGCCAGGCCTCCACAGCACTGGGCTTCATGGAGGTTTTATTGGTGTTCAGGCTAGACTGACAAAACTCGCTGTTTATCTAAAATATGTTGCAGCCACACCAGGAAGAGCAGTCAAATTAAGTGTGAGTAAAGAGCCCCAGCACGCCGAGCAGTGGTTTACATGACCAGCAGCACGTTCCCTGTCTGACCTCACTTTTAATGAATCAAAACACACTCATGGAAGCCTAATCTGACATCAAGCTGCAACACGCCACATCCTCCCACTGGGAACTACAGCCGGATTGTGAGCAGCCAGCAAACCCTGCAGCTTCACAGAGCCAAACAGAGGGACGGCAGCCTCTGCCTGCGGAGCAGCAGCACAAGGAAGCACTGCAGAGCAACCCGTGATGTTAATCACCCACAGAGTGCTTAATTTACTGCATATCCCATTTGACTGTTCAGCTGGAGGTATGGTAGAACTCAGCATTCTCACGTGAGCCATCAATGGAACCTCCTCAGTTTATTTCCTTCTCCCTTCCGAGATCACAAAATCTGGGGGAAAAAAATAAAAATCCAGAACCTGTTTATAGAAACGGTATTTCTCTCCCAAATTATGAGAATCCTGGCCATGCTCTAATGCAAATTATGCCATTATGAATGGATATATACAAAATTTTTGTAGCTATTTATGAAGAAATTAACCACGTTACACACTTAGTGTTTTTTTCTGAAGAATTTCAATATTTGTGAAAAAGTGACAAAGTTTTTTCATAAGTTTGGTAGGAAACAGCATTCAGATTGTGTTCTTAAGAGAAAAGCCAGCAGAAATACCTGCTAGCCATTTCATACCAGGTCTCTGGTTAATGTAAGTTGCACTATCCGCCTATTCATAAGGAGTTACACCTGACTTTTCTTCTCTACGAGCTAGGCTGACATATTTTCTTGCCCAAGTAGAAATAATTAAAATAATTGAACTGTGGAGTATTTGCTCCCCCTTTCCATTGCACTGCAGCCAATCCAGCAGGACCCTCAGCATTCAATGGGAGCCCACAGCGAGCCGACCAGTCCAGGATCAGTTTAACGAGGTCTTATACAGAAGCATTAAGTCAGTTCATAGGCAAGTCCTCCCAAATCCTGTTGCAAAACTGAAGCATCAACAGGCTGGCACCTGGCGTGCAGCCACCCTGCACACATAGTTTTTATTAAACAGAGAAGTTCAGAGTATTTTCAGGTATGTGCATATGTAGAAATAAAAGCAGTACACAGCTCACTAGTCTGAGCCATGATCAACCTGAATAAACTAAGAAATAGCAGTTCTTACAAAGAAGTACAACATTAACAAGGAAAAAAAAGGAAAAGCAAGCTGGTCAGACTCCCACAGTAGTAATTATTAAGCTAGTTTTCCATGACAGAGCTAGATGGGCTCCTGCCTGAGGTGGGACTGATGTCTTGTCAATATGTAACAGAGTCCTGCAATAATTAAAATGGAGGAAGCACATAGGATTCCTAAAGCTTGTAAGCTTTTCTTGTTTTCTTTTTGGTGAACCCAACAAAGCAAAGATTCAGTGACCAGTTTTATTCCCAGGTCTTCTGCCCTTCGATTCAAGTCCTTAGAAATCTCTGAATGAAAGGCCTTAAACATGCACAAATGACACACAGAGCAAAATGAATAAGCGTCTAAACTCATTAGCCTGAAAAGGGTCACTGAAAAGCTTATATAATGGCAGAAAATGCACCTATAACACCAAAGCATTGTGGAGCAGCTGAACATCTGAAAGCAGGACTAAAGCCATGTGCAGCTGATTGGTTGCACTTGTTTTGTTCACGGAGCACAGATTACTGAGCATTTCCTCTCATACCTTGTGCTCACCACCTCCAGTAATCACATTGATTTTGCTAAGCCTTTATGCACTGACCCAGCAGCAAGATCTACGTGGGCAGATCCAGTCTGGGCTTACAGCACTCATCCCTCGTGGTTCCCATCTTACAGCTGATTAATGTGTTTCACAGAGTAACTGAATGTACCAGCGTGGAAATATTGAAGTACAGAAGCGAAGATGGCAATTTATAAATGAAGCATCAATACATCGAGATAGAATCATAGAATCCTAGAGTGAAAAGGACTACACTGCTCATCAGGTTCCAACCCCCTGCTGTGTGCAGGGTCACCAATCAGCAGACCAGGCTGCCCAGAGCCACATCCAGCCTGGCCTTGAATGCCTCCAGGAATGGGGCATCCACAACCTCCTTGGGCAACCTGTTCCAGTGCCTCACCACTCTCTGGCTGAAAAACTTCCTCCTCATATCCAACCTAAACCTCCCCTGTCTCACTTTAAAACCATTCCCCCTTGTCCTATCACCATCCACCCTCACAAACAGCCGTTCCCTTCCTGTTTATATGCTCCCTTCAAGTACTGGAAGGCCACAATGAGGTCTCCGCACTGCAAACTTAAGCCATCACAACTGTTATTTAGCATCCCTGAATAACTGGGTAGAAATACCCACTTTACACAGGTGGGCATAAACTGCACTCCTTATCACAAGGCGTAACACCACCATCACACAACAGCAGCCCTATGAGACGGCCGTCGTTTATTCCTTACTGCAATTCCCAGCGAGCGACAAGAGCTCAGCCAACCCCTGCACTTCGCCGTCAGTTTGACTTCATCCTAAACCCCGCAGGGATGGTTAATGGTTGACACCACTTATTCAGCTCTTCACCTGGGCTGTCCTTAGCCGTCACACCGAGGCAGCGGTTCCACACACGGGACACGCGCTGCCAGCCGAGCACCGGAGCCCACGGGCAGCGCAGGCAGGGCTGCTCCACGTGAGCGTTATCCCGGGAACAAAAGGATGCAGCGAGCAGCTGACACAGTGCCGGATATAGAGGAAAATAGCTCACGTCAGCGGTATCGACTCAGCCACTGAATAAACTCATTCCCACAGCCGCGCTCCTCCCCCCGCCGTGCCGTATCCCCATCTTAGCTTCTGAATAAACTCAGTTCGACCACAGCACGAAGCCTCTCCGCTCCCCTCGGCTTCACCCCGTTCAGCGCAGCCCCTCCGGCCCCACGTCGGCCCAGAGCTCCTCATGCCACCCACCCCCCGTCCCTCATCCCCCCCTCAGCCCCGCTCCCCTCCGCCGGCCCTGCCCGCCTCAGCGCCCGCTCCTCGCAGCCCCTCCGGACGCCGCCGATTGGCCCCCGGCGGCTCGCGCGGCCCCGCGCTCCGCCAATCGCAGCCCGGAGCGGGGGAAGGGGCTCCGGGCCCCGCCGCCGCCCCCCGCCTGCTCGCGCTCCGCTCCCACACGCCGGCCGGGGCCGCACTCACTGTTGAGGCCCGGCTCGGTTTGCGTCCCCTCAGCCGGCGGGTTGTTGTTGTTGTTGTGCTGCGGCGGCTCCTGAGGGCTGGACATGGCGGCGCAGGAGCGGCGGCTGAGGAGACGGAGAGCCGCTGGGGCTGGGACAACAACAACAAACCCGGACTCCGCTCCGGGCCCCGCCGCCCCGCCTCCTCGCTCCGCGCATGCGCGAGCCGCGCTGTTCCCACCCTCCGCCGCTGCGCACGCGCCGCTCGCCTCGGGGCGCGTGCCGCGCAGCATGGCGCCCGCTGTGCTTGCGCACGTCCCGCTGCCACCGCCCCGCGCATGCGCCGTTTCGCAATCGGAGCGCCGCGCCTGCGGACGAGTGCACGTGCGCCCTGGGTGGGCGGGAAGAGCGGACTGTGAGGGGAAAGGCGCGAACCGTGAGGGGAGGGCAGAGCCTCGGGCACAGAGTAACTGGAAGACGGGTCCTCACGGTGTCTGCTCCTCACTGATCCTTCAACAGACAGAAGCGATCGCATTTCCCACTATTCCAAGCCTTCCTGGATCCCGTTCCGCCATTCACAGCCCAACGTTGTCGGCCTACACCGCTTCAGCCACCCGGGGTCCGGCTGTGCCGCTTCCCCATGCAGGAGGCGGTGCGTCCTCCTCCCCGCGCTCGGCTGCTGTGAGGGAAGCCGTCAAACCCGCACAGCCAAAGTGTTCTCCGAAAACTCTGCCCCCGCTCAGCCGTCTTGAGTTTGCCTCAAATAATTTAAAGCCAACAAAACTAGTAGGTCCACAAAATGTAATTAGGTCTCCCGGTATTAATTAACTGAATTTTTAAGACTTTGGCTAGATAAACCTCTCCTCTAAGACCTAGCCTAAGTCAGCAAAGTGCAGCGTTTACGTAAATGGTGGCAGAGTTAAGAGAGAAGAGGGCACCCAGGTAACAAAACTGGAACTGTTCTTAGCCATACAAAGTGAAATTATTTGTCTGCACCCATTTCCTCTCAGTATGAAAATGAGAAATAACCTCAGGCTCCTTATGCACCTACTGCTGTACTGTGAACAAGAATAATACTGAATTTCCAGGGAAAACAGACCTGAAAATGCAATGAAATACTTAAAATGCAATGAAAGACAGGTGCCAACACGTACCTCACTTGCTGAGGTTTCTTCAGCTACAACAGAGTGGCTTCTGCATCGATTATGCATTCTAAGTAGCTAACATGAAACAGCCATATATAGAACTTGAGGTTCTTCTAAATCACTTGACTTTTACGATAACAGTCAATATCATCTTGAAGATCAAGCATATGAATGCCTGAGGGCAGAGCCAGCTCCCACAGATACTTTGTATTGCAGATAGCAGAACTTGTACTGGGATCATTCTGCTTCTAATCTCCTTTTTCATTGGGACTCCTGGAGAATAATCCAGCAAGACGAACTTCACCACAGACGATTTAACTTGCCTTCATTTCTCACTAAATCAGCTTTACTACCTTCATTCCATGTGGTATCACCTAGACTCCAAGGTCCATTTTGAGGCCTAAAGTATGTCTGATGGAACTTTGTAACCAACCCCATCCCACACAAATACACACAGCATTTTACTTCTTAACAGCACTAATGGAGGCCTTCGCACAAAACCATTCCCATCAGCAGCCTTGAGGATATAAACAGGGGCAGGGGATCACTGTTTTGTGTGATAGTACCGCTGCTGCTATCAAAGACTGAAACAAATTCAGACAGACCCATCTGCATTAATGTTTTCCTTTATCTCCTCATTGCTCAGCAAAAACAATGACTTTTTTATCAGGACTTTATCAGGACTAGGGTGTGTACAACTGTCACAGTTATCCCATTCTAGATTACCATTAGCAAATATTTTTCTTCGTTTTCTCATCTATGCTATGCTGAGTAGCATCCAAGTAGTGATGTGTGGACATTATAAATCTGCCTTACGTGACACTGGTCTTTCCTACCAAACTGACTGTATATGCTTACATGTCCATACCAAATGTCTGATCTTGTCAAAAATCTGGATGCCCCTCGGTTATCACTGGTACAGAATTTGCTATATGTTATGAAAAGACAGCAGCAATTTAGGCATTCTACATCCCTTCACAGGTAGAAGGGCCACAGACGTGTTCTAGATTAGAATCATAAGCTACGTAGATGCTGAACTGAGCCCCATCCCACTTTGCAATCCTAACAATTCCAGGCTAACATCAAGCATCATTTGTCATCTCCATCATCCAGGAAGCATTTGCCATAATGCTCATGACATGAATATTTATCAGCAAAGTGGGACTATTAAAATTTCTGAGTCAGACAAATTAATCGAGATTACAGAGTGAGTCAATGCAGAGCCAGAAATAGCATTCAGAAGTCCTGACTTTCAGACCTGTTCTCTAACCACTACACAGGTTCCTTAAGGCAGTTGAATGACGTAATTCATGCTTATAAAGTAATTGAATCCTCAGATGGAAAATGCTATGACAATAGCTAAGGTGGAGGGACAAAAAGCCACGTGATCATAGAAGAGGAACAGTGGCTGTAAACTTCTGGGGAAGGCCTTTTGTGCAAGAAAAAGGTTTTTCTTACAGAAAGCCTATCAGTCAATTCAAATCAAACACGTAACAAGCTGCCTGATTATCTCTCAAGAGCTGCCAAAGTAATTGCAGTTTTATGCTCATGGCTCCAAGGTGTTTTTTGTCCACCCACTTCTTCAGTAACATTTTGCCTCCTAGTGGATGAGACCAATATAGAAGCACCTGCTTTTTCTTGTGAAAGAAAAATAGATGTATTGTTTGCAAAAAGCAGAGGTTGTTAGAATTCAAAGGCAGACCATACAGAAAATCCATGCTGCTTCTTGGCTCTGAGCTGCATCACACTAGAAAGAAATGCCTGCTGCTTCTATTCCAGCCACTACTGGGACTTCTACCGTTAAGTCCTTTCTCTACAAACCCAAACCTTCTATACCAGGTTAAATAAGGTATTTGCTGTGAGCGAACAATAGAAACTATTCAAGACACCGGCAGTCATTACACAGCAACCTCAGTCCCAGCACACCTCTCCCCACCTCAGTTCTCTACATCAATAGTTCAACTTGCAACTGCTAATTATGTGGGAACGGGCAAAAGGAAACACCTCCTACTGCTCAGTCTAAGTCAGAAGTTATGGCGGGAATGCCAGAGATGAAGAAACGAAGACACGAAATCCAGCGCACAGGAAATTGCTGCTTCTAGCTATGTCACCCCTATGACCGCCCAATTCCAGAGCAGTAACAATAAGCCAGCCTCCAACAGGCAGCAGCCTCTCCCCAGGAGGACAAAGCTACCAGTTTCTGCTCATCAACACCAGCGTTTCCAAGGTAAGCTGAGAAAAAGGTAAAAATATTTAAATTTAGGATAACTGAGTGAAAGCTACAGCCCTGCCCCAACAGAACACTGAGCACAGAGTAGGATGCTGCCACATTCAACACATTTGATGGCATTAGCTACTCCTCACCACAAAAGCAGCAAAGTAACTTCAGCCACAGAGCTTGCCTGCACCTCAGCCCTGTACCAGTCAGATACCAATAGGCTGCACGTTAATTGATGGCAGTATCAGTGGTCTGAAGTATGGTTGCCATTCTGCAAATATTAACCACCTAAGTGGCAGTTGTACGTAATCTGGTAGTATCAAAGCCTTCAAGACAGATTCTAGGGAAGGGTTTGGTTCAGTATTTAAGGGCTGAGAACTGAACAGCTGCACTGGTTGTACTGGGAACTCAGAGAAAGCACTAGAACAGAGCAGCTGCTTTCCTCTAACCGTACGTGATGGAGGAGGGCAGGATTGCCTTAACACCCACCCACCCTGTCTGGCAAGCTCTCCAGGCTAGGCCCAGAAATAACAACACAGAACCTAGCAAGAGGGGGTACTACTCAACATGCAGCAAGAAGGATGAGTAATTTCAAAAATTCCTGTAAGTAGAGAAAAGGGATGGGAAGAAAGATAAAAAGCAACCTGACAAGATGTATTCTATGCATACTTTTATTAATAAAATATAAGATTTACAGCATATGTCAATGGACAGTGTGTTTAGAGAAGTATCTAGTTGGATAGCATGACACCAAAGTCAGTAGCTGGTTTTGTTGAGGATAGGTTAAACCTCAAGCGACATGCCAGAGATCACCGCTACTGCTGAAAACAAAAGTATTTCCCAAGACTAGCCTTAAAATTCCTGAAACCCAACAAGCACAGCTGAGGTCCAAGAGGCAGTTCTGCTTGAGTGTAGTATTGCTAGAAGGCTGCACTTCCATCTACGAGAAATCTATGTGTTCAGTTCTCTCTTTGCATCCCCACTGCTGTCTGTGCAGCTTTTCATGTATTCAGTGCATCATTCAGGATATACAGATACACAAGTAAAAGCAGCAATCTTGCTCTCGCAAACCTCAATATTCCTCAATATTCCCAAAATAACAATTAAACCTTCTTTGCGAAAACGGAGATGAATTTTTACCAGCTCTGTTGCTGAAGTAGCGCCTGATTTTCTCTTTGCTCTTGTGATAAGGTAATGAATAAATGTTGGGCCTGATCCTGTGAAACACCTCTATGGACGACAACCAACAGGTTTCTTCAACTGCTAGCAAGTATTATTCACCCACTGGAAAACAGCTGCTGTTCCTGGGGCTGTTACTCTTTGTTAAAAAGAAAACAAAAAAACAAGGCTAACAGGTGAAATATGGTAAAATCCTTACAAAGGCTCATGGTCAGGCATGCATGTTACAAGACAAATACTGTATTTAAGAGAACCAGATCTAATATTACAATCTTTACATTTTCAAACCTCTGCACAAGGACTAAAGTATGGTTGCAAGTGCAGTCTTGTTAACAATCTCTAACTCAGCCATAATTTTACAGCAGAAACAGTATCTTAGTTGATCAAATAATAGAGGCATTATCATAACCATCTATAACTAAGCCATAGAAATAATTTAAATCTAGGTAACTGAAAAGTGAGAAGTCCTCCAATTCAAGGTGAGTTCACTACGACTTTAAGCTTCATTCTGAACACCTCCCTGAAGGAAGAGTAAACCTAAAAGCACAATTAGCAAAAATATCCGGAGGTAAAAACTCATGAGCCTTATAAAGCATCAGTATCTAGTTCATCTTTGGATAAGCCTTATTTGCTGAAGAGTTTAAATCTCTCAAATAGCTATGAACACTTATTTCATGCAGCT